ATAGCGAAGAAATCTCTGATTTAGATTACGTTTGTTTCTCAACAAGACGGATTTCTAACCATGGGATTGTTGATTTGTTTTAGGGTCCAACAATTATGACGCTTGAGCAACCAAGCAGTCTAATTCGTCTTTGGAGATCTCAAAGAGAGTAACGAAATAATAGGGTTCGGTTAATTCCTCTTCTAAATTACACCCCATAATTGATGTCTCTGGAACCAGTGAAATTCCTTTTCTTCAACTTACAGGGTATGCCATAGCAAATGACTGCCAAACTTGATGATTTCACACTTGGGTGTTTGTTTAATTTCCCAGAAGAGTATTAGTTATCACTTATTTAGATTTCTAAATTAAACTTCCCTCTTCATCTCGTAAATATATATAATGTCCAGAGAAGTGATATGGCCTTGTTCTTTGCTGCCAGATTTTTCCTCTACATTGCTGTTTTTATAAAAATCCAAGGCCCAACCGGTTTCTTTGTTATCACTCACCATCTCCTTCAAACATCTATCATACATTTCTCATCTTAAACTCGTAAGCAAAGTGCGCTACTTTGATTTCTCATCTCCTTTTCTACTTTCTCTTTTGGTTTCTCATTAAAAAATATTCATGATATTTTCAAACATTGCAGAGATTTCTCAAACATGGAAACCAAGGCATATACCATAAAGGGATTCCAGGTAAACATTTTTATTGCAAGAGTCTTTTGGTTGAAATACAAAGTTAGCAATGGTCTCTGTAATTTCTGTTTTCGCAATTCTTTTACCTACCATCTTTTGCAATTTCTCCTTCACCTGTCTCTCAATTTCTCGGTTTTTTACTACGTGATTTTCAACTTATCACAGAAAACTTGTACCATGGCCAAATATGTACTCTTTTTTCTCGAACCTGTTAAACTAATGCTATGTTTTGATGTAGAAGCCTTTATAATTTCTTTGTCTACTACGAACGAATTTCATTTACGTTGTTTCTTGTTTGATGTTTTTAACGGATAATTGATTACCACACCACCAAGCATCCAATGCACCAATCTTAGCATATATTGTTATGGTTTCTACCGATCTTTGGCATTCTAGGTTTCTTTGTGATATGTCTTTACCTTGCGATGTGTCATGTAGCCTTAGTTAATAAGAGGTGGAATGATACTTAATATGTGTTTCATTTGTTTTCTTTCTGATTAGTATTACATAGCCATACGTTTTTTAAAGTAATTCTTAAAATAGACTGTTAGTTTTTGTGTTACCCACTTCTCTGCAATCTCATGACTGAAAATTAATGTTTTGGGTTTTGTAGCTTGCATACTTAGTTTGAATTTACTTCCTAAAAATTATCAGACACCCATCAGTAGAGGGTTTCATCGCAGGAGGTACAACTAGATCTGTAGTTGAAGTAGTTTTATCGGGATCATTGTAATAAAGACAAGATTTAAGGGTTGATTCCTCGTGGACTTACTGAGTTACTACAAATCGTAGTGCGCACGTGTCCATACGTTAGTTGCAAGCCACTAAAAAAGAGAATGTTTCATACACCAACAACTTCACCTTCGGTTCATGTCACTCAAATCAAAGCATCTCCACTTCAACTCGTTGTCTCATCTTACCCTGGTCAATTACTAGCTTTCAAGTAAGTGTTACATCCAAGCTTATGTGCGATTCAATTCCTAATACATTTAAAAACACATTTACTAATACTACAATCATCTCTGCATGCTGCTACTCATGTTCCAACTGTCTCTCTTGTTGAAATCTTAAATTATGTGCTCCTATTGTAGATTAAACCATCAAATATTAATCTTAATAAAGTGGGATCATTATCGTATTGAACAAACAATGCTTTGTCGATCTTGTAATATGGACTCTTAGGCTGCTCCTCGTAGACTAACATGGTTTTAAAACAGGAAGAGATTGGTCTCGAAATTTCCACTATATTTACGAAATTTCTTTACATTGACAACAAGTACCTACAATTGTTCAGGACATGGAACTCTTCGGTGAAGAGAACGAGGAAGAAAAGAAAGCCATCGAGGAGAGGGAGGCCGCTAAGAAGGACATCAACAAGCCTAAAGAGAGTAAGTATCTACATATTATGCAGTTTGTTATATATTAGATTGGGTAGCGTGGAGAAGAATAATCACAATTTATTCACTTGAGAAAATCGTTTGAATAATTTGTTTCTTGTGTTCATGATATCAGGTCCATAATATTATTATATTCCTCTTCTAGACAACTTTTTTTAATAAGACTAAAGTTCAAACTCTTAAAGAAGTCTTGCTTGACTAATTACATATTCTTATTCGTCTTGACATTGTTCAGATTCATCGTCTACTTCAAACTCAAATAATATTGCTAAGGCGATAGCAAGCAACGGCCTTTGCCTGAGGAGTTGTTGCTCTGAGTTGCTTAGCTAATGGAACTGATATAGAAGACATAAAGAACTGGGGAGTAGAACGATGCTTGTCAGGGGAAAGAGAAGACATGAATGGAGAACTTTGAGGTTCAAACTTGGTTTATTTCAGGAGAAACTATTTTCAAAGGCTAAATTGCATTATGATAGTGTAGAGAGCAAATTACACTAAGGTTACAGAGTTGCATGGCCAAAATAATTGATTCTTTGTTTTCGAATATATGGAGAAGCATGTCTTCGAAATAAATGATATAATAGGAACCATTTGTGAGTAGTTGGAACTCGGAAACATTGTGCCTCAAGCTGATTCTTTTAAATCTTGAAGAATACATCCTTTCAAACTTGGACCTGTACCCAAGATTCTGGGAGTTTTTATTTGGGATCATGAATGTTATAACTTCTTGCTATGCGCTTTTCATTGCCTGGTAGATATATCTGCTGCCTATCAGGTTGGTGAAGATGCATATGGTTGATCACACAACCACACATCATAGAGATGTCATGATGAAAAATTTTGAAACCATTTAATATTAAATATTATGATTTTTAACTACTACTTTCTAAACGATGTTAAGTTAAGAGAGAGTTCATCCGCCATGTTTTACCACATCAACGAATTCTGAATAAGAATTAGAGAAAACGTCATACATTGTTTGCATTGCTCCATTAAAGTACGTTACAGTAGTCTACATAATAAGACTCAAACAAACTTTCTTTTATCTTGAAACTTAAATTGTTTAAAGATATCAAGCCGTAGATGTTACTTATATATGCACAAAGAAACAATATGTTGTAGTCAAAATACTATTTTCACATGTGATTCAAATTGCAAACAAGCATCAATTAAATTGTGCCAATGGTGTAATCTGTTACGTCCCAACTTAGAAAACCCTATGACCACGTCAATAGAATCATAAGAAGATTTCCAATTGTCAAGGGAGTGCGAGTAATAACTAAAACATAAGAGTTTTTATACTGAATATACATACACTGATTTGTATCGCAACTTTCCTCAAGTTGTCATCTGTGATAGCTCCATTATAATACAAACAATTCGATTACTACCAACCATGTTTGTAAGAAATATGAAGAATTAACGTGTGACTTTACAGCATATCTTTTCCAGATTATGGTACTCATATTCACATGGAACAAGTGTTCATGAAACAAATCGAGAATGTTTACTTTTCGAGCCTCTCAATTCATTTAGTTCTAAAGAAGTTTTTACGACATCCATATAATTGACG